AAGGTTATAGGTACTTCCAGCGGGATGTAGAGTACAAAGGGGAGATTCATTTAGACCAAGTTTATAGACGTGATCTAACAAGAGTGAGTGACCCACGCGGAGACGGTTGAAGCGAACAACTGTCGATATTAGTAAGTTTAGGTTGTTGAACAAGGTTTTATTGTTAAAAATTTTAGGAACAGTATTTTTATATTTGAAAGCAAAATCAGCGGGCAAATTATTCCATTGGTTGGACCAAAGGCTAAAAATGTGACTGTGTAATAGGGGGTAAAGTCAGTCCAAGATACTTGAGCAGGGGAAGGCAGGATTGTGATGGGGGTATATTTGACTGGCCGGTCGGCCACTTCATTATCATGTATGCCAATGTGACTGGGAATTAACAAAAGTTGAATAAATCGATTAGAATGATTAAGATAATTTATGTATGATTTAATAAGAAAAACAAGAAGGGATATTTTGGAATTAAAGGGGTTGGAAACAAAGGTTTGTAAACAAGACATAGAGTCGGTGGCTATTAAGTAATTTCCCGAGTCTGTAGTTGAAATTAACAAAAGGGCTTCGTAAATTGCATAACACTCTGCAGTAAAGGATGATGATGTGGGGGGAGAGATTATTAGCGAAAGAGACATACCACTCGGGTATTTAAAAAGAGTAACCAGCTGATAGCTGAGAGACTGATCCGTCAGTATAGATAACTATAGTTAGGAAAATGGAGGTTGAGGGGATTAGAAAAGATATTATTGACCATGAAGCTAGTAAATATTAATTTGAGCTGGTGAGAAGGCAAGTCGGTGAATTGGCCATCAATATAAATGAGGAGAGAGAACAGGAGAGAGTCGTATGATTACTCGTAAATTTGAGGTTTGATTGATTTAATAATATATTGATGAAAATTAGAAAAAGAATTGGCTGCAATTGAGAGGACCGGTATTGATTTGGGAGTAAATCTCCAATTGAGAAAAACGTGTGTTTTATAACTGTTATAACAGTTTAATAACTGATATTTTATATAAGAAGTATAATAGTAGTATAGTAGCAAAAGATGTATTTTAAGTATATTTGGTAAAATAAAAAAAATAAATAAATAACGTTAAAATTTATATTAAAAGTATCTATAATATTACAGCGAAGCTCGAAATTTATTTAATCATCGGAAAATGTATGGGGGATCTGTTCACATTCATACATACGCCGCTGAAATATTAAAATTAAATACGCTGGTTACTATAGTCGGTAGTTAATAGTTACGTACATTAAATATTTAATTATATTCCAAATGTTCTGATCTACAGTAGTTATCACTATAGCAGTTACAAAACTCCGTTGCATATAATTTATTGAAATTGTCTCTTGTTTTTTGGGACATTTTTCTTCAACTCGTCACGTTGACACTGTTGGTGCACGACGATACGAGTTATCACATCGCTTGTGCCAGTCAATATCACTCGGACGGGAATTCATTTTCACGTCATCTTTCGCACGCGCATCTGACGGTCCCGTCGTCGGTGTATCACGTTTACCCTATCTTCTGTTTATTTATTTTTTTTCCAGAGAAATAAAATGGCTAACGCAGTGCGCAAGATTTGTATGAAAATCAGAAACGGCCTTCACTACCTAATGGGCTCGACGGTAAAGACGTCGGCGTACGGTGGCTCCCTGATCGCGGACACCGTTCTACAGTACCCGATCAAATTACAACAGGTTGTAATCGTTTTCGTGAAATGGCGACCGACTTCTTCAAGAGTATTTTGGTTCTATAATCATCATTGATCGTACCTTTTCAGGTCGAAATTATGTATAAATCGAATCTCGTTGACACCGTGTTCCGTCCATCACAGTCGTTATACTCCATTGGACATTATGTCCCCAATAAACCGTCAGTTACAGCAGCAGTTGAATGGTTCAACACTTATTACAGCAATGATCGTAGTTTTCCTCTGACACGCTCAAACAGCACAAAAGCAAAGTCTAGTGGTATCAGGAAACCTGACGAATCACTTGAAAAGGGGCTGCCAAATGCAGATCAACTACATTATGTATATACTAGATTGGGAGAAGATGTCAGTTTGTCAATAGCATTATTTTTGTTGAAACTTTAACCGTTTATTTATGTATTAAAATAAATATATATGTTTTTTTCTTATTATAGCTGCCTTCGATGTTTAAACAAGGTTTGGATTATAGTCTGTACCATCCAAGACTTATATTTGAGAACAATATCAGAGGAAAAATGAGTGTGTAAGTCTTAAAAAAATAAAAATGTAATTTTTCTGTTCTAACTGTGTAAAACGGCATTTTAGGGGAGCGGAACACTTCATGACTATGATATCTCTATTACGTATTATTGGCCATTTAAAATATGCTTTCGTTAAGTTCGATATACTAAAAATAACCAAACATCCAGAAGATGGAACGATTAAAATCCGTTGGAGAATCAAAGGTATATCAGGGACGAAAGTATTCTTAAAGTTTTGGAAATTCAATTTGTTCAAATTGGAACAAGTTATTAAAGAAAATGTTGAATCGTACGTAAACTTATATTTAATTTTAATTTTCAAAATTGTATAAAATATATCAATGGTGATAAGGAAAAAGGGACTAAATGACATTTTCAAGGTTTTCTGGAAAGGCAAAAACGTTTGTTTGATTGGTTTTACTTTCAAATGGCTGTATCTTTTTTTTTTTTTAGGTGTTTTACAAGTTTTTAATAAACTAACTAATGTTATAATTAAGACTAAGTTATTTTCCATAGGTTTAGATTATAATTTAAGCAATAATAACCCCCTACAATGTCGTTTAGACTTCATATGTATAATCTGAACAGAAATGTCGTATATACACAAAGTTTTAAAACTAAAAATATATAATTATTATTGTTGTTATATATTGTAATTTATATAATTATCAATAAATAGTAAGACTTTGACAAACATATAGAGCTCGTATTCTACTATCCAGCCATATATATTTTGCTTATACCCTAATATCGCTTAGTCGCTTTTGCCTTGTCATCATTGATAAGTTAAACAATAACTCACCAAAATGTATTTGGTTATTGAATTTATACATTTTTATAATACAATTTTGTAAACTAAAAATAATTTAATAATTATTTATTTTTTTTTTAATTTATAATTTGTGTTATATTATTCAGGTGGCATGAAGGATTTTCAATATTTTATTTGGGATCAGATGGTAAGATCCACAAACTTACTGCTGACAAAGTAAGTTTTGCTAAACATTTTCATGAAAATTTAATTTTGAAAACCAAGTATTTATGTTTTACACTTATTGTTTTAGATGCAATCCAGTAATAATAAAAAAGAACCCAATAGTCACAAAATTGATGCGGCTTTTAAGACTATCACCCTAGATGAATAATTTTGACTGATTTATGACACTAGACTCTGAACAGACCAGCACATTACTGAAAATGATTTAAATTTAAAAAATAAATATTTCCTATGCGATAAATTTTTCTAAAAATTAATAAAAGTTAAAAAAAAATAAAATTGAATTTCTATTTAATCCAGAAATGCAGATTGGGTTTTTATGGTTTTTATTTTCAAAATAATGAGCGAGTTAAACTCAGAAAAGTAGCCCGGGTTTTTATGGAGATTTTTTAAATATTAAATGGGATTAGCCCAGAAAAGCAGCCCGGATTTTTTCGAACTGGGCTTTTTCGTGTCAACCCTACTATGTAAACACATTAAAAATTCGATCCAATCGATTTGATTGATAAATCGCGGGAAAAAAACACACGTGTTTCGCCCAGTGCTGTTCAACCCCGATCGATCATATCCATATAAAAAACGCGCGAAACGTAATATTATATTATATTGTAAACATATATTTTTTTCTCGCTCGTGCGTTCGATGAAATATTATATTCTACGAGAACGAACGTCTTGCAGTCGCAGCGCACGGTGAGTTGCGGTATACGATATTTTGCTGTCGTTTTTTCGCTCCCTCTTGTCCTCGTTACAGGAACAAATCGTTTCGCGGTCGACCCGAAATACCGATGCACTTTGGTACGCGATGTTTCTCGGACACGAAAATATACACAATATATACGCATACGCACACACACACGGACACACGGACACACGCACACGCACTTATATCCATATACAGGTGAACGGATTCTGGCCGTTGACCATGGTCAAGGTCGCGTGTCCTGATTATTTTTAAAACGCCAATGTCGCGTGTAAAGTGTTTCGGTCACGACACGCGCGTCTGCGGCATCCGTCAGACACGCAGCCGCGTTGCCGCTGCCGCCGCCGCCGCCACCACCGGCACGGCACTGCTGTACAATATCATATACACGCGTTGTGTACTGCACGACGACCACGCGCGTAAATATGCCACAGACGCTGCACGGCAGTGGCCACGTGCGATTTGCGCGAGCGCATAAAATGTACGTCGCTGCCGTTACGCGACGTGTCAACGCCTCAGTTAGACAATTTCAATATTAATACCCGGAACAATTATTAACGACGGTGGCTATGAAAAGCTCACTTGAAATTCGTCGTGAGACGACCAAATTACTGTAACAGCAACACAGGGTCTTTGAATACTCGGTTCGGGTATGTACAATAACTAAAATACATCGTACTCAATACATTTATAACACTGTCGGTTTTTAAAAGTCAACATATGCAATTTTTTAACAATTCTATTTTGAGAATTATTACTACATTTTTGAACTTATGGACGTAGACGAATAGATAAAATATGTATTATAAAGGCTAACATGACAATATAATCGTACATTAAATCGTGCTTACTACTATTTGCACCAAATTACTTTGTTACTGAAGATCAAACGCAATACTAAAATTTTACTGAATTTGTATTTTTCTGTTTTTTTGTTTTTGAAAGATAACAATTTTTTAAAAATAATTGGTGTCCCGGAAGGCAGTAGTATCCGTGATAGACTGAATAAACTGAATTTGTTTATGCTAATATTACGCGACGAGATAATACTATTATGATGCTTACCTTGGAAATAGCTTTTGGTGCGCAGGTAACTGACGGATAACCGCAGTATGGACAGTCGGTCCAGTTTGGACAAGATGTTGTGTTCGAATGGCAACAAGTTTGCCAGCGTGTCCAGCTCGGCATTCAACCGTTCCCGGTGCCGCTTGCTGGGGTTGCTCTTACCCACGCCCCCATCTTTGGGCGTCGTCTTTACGCTGGAATGAAAATTTTTATTTCCTTATATTAGTAATCGTATAAAATATTGAATACTTCGATAACAACTGGCCTTACACATATAATATTGGTACATTTTTTATATATAAAACTCCTATGTTCAACGGTTTGTCTGCAATGGATTGCGAAACTACGCTAACACGAAAAATCATAGTAATTCAATTTAAATTAAGTTATTCTTATCTTAATCTTGAAATATTGATGACGAGATTTAGTAGAACTAGGTATAACCGCTATAGTTTATACATTTTTGTTCTCTTGATCAAAATCGAACAAATATAAATACTTTGAAAAATTTAGACAAGTGTTGTTAACGGTCACACGGTACACGGACACAATAATAATTCGATAATATTAGCTTTGGAAAAATGTAAAAACAAAAATAAATTAAAATTTGTTGAGTTCGAGCGTAGCGAGAAAAAACAATTATAGTAGGAAGATATTTATTGAATCTTACTCCAATGTTATGTTGTTTAGCTCATTGTAAATTTTTTGCCGGACGCCTAATCATGAGCCAGACCGACAATGCCAGAGAATCACGATGCAAACGTGTTGAAAGAGAAATGCAATTCAAAAAAGCTTCAATTCCCTATTAATTTGACTTCTGCAGTTACCATAAATAAGTCTTAGAGTCAAATTGTTTTAATTTTCGACTTGGACTTGGAAAATCCATGTTTCTCTCATGCGCATCTATATGTTGCATGCTCACGTGTAGGGAAACTACTAAATTTATTTGTGTCAGAAAAAAAATAGGTCAACGAAAAATATTGTGCACCGATTATTTTTTAATTAAATTAAAATCATAAATTTTTTTTTATAATAAATAATTAATTTTAAAAATAAAAATAATTAAAAACTAACCCGAATAAAGGTGGATAAAAATCAGTTAGTATATATAATACTATATAGGGTATTCTTTAATATTTTATAACTTTTTTGATGTTGAACATGTTCAACACATAATATGTGCTTAAGAGATTACAATTTTTGAATCAACAGATGGACGAAATTCAACTCAGCTAGTGTAAACTGTCAAAAATTGCTGTAGATTTTGACAAAATGGATGTCGGACATATTTACAAACAGTGAAAAATTTAAAAATTTTCGTTAAGTTTATAATATTCTATTAACTATAATATTTTGAAGTGTTTTCAAGATTAATTTTCATATTTAAAATCTCTGAAACAACTCATTACTCAATGGTCAATCGTCGATACTAAAGATAATTATTAATTTTACCTTTTACCGTAATTATTATATTTATGTAAGCCCGTAGACAGGGGTATATTTAAGGAGTGGGCCCATGGGGCTCATGCCCCCCCCCATTCACAGTATTTTATACTTTATTTATTATTGTAGGCCCTCTTATTTTTCACGCACGGTTATACGGAGAAATACTGGAATATCAATATATCATGATAATATGATACCATCGATTAAACAGATTAGTATTGCTTAATATTCACCCTGAAATAATTATAAAACCTAAATATGTAGTTGATGCATTTGCTAATAAACACCCCAGACATCTTCAGTTATTGTAATTACAAAAATTATATTAAATTATATAAATATATTTTATTATAAATTTGTGAAATAAAATATTATGTTTCTATCAAACACTTGTATTTTGATTATTTGGTTATGAATAACGACAGTTTTTTGAGATGGAAAAGTTATAACTATGTATACTTTGAACTTTTTGTTTGTCCCCCACCTCCATAAGAAATTTCTAAATACGCCCCTGCCTGTAGACATCATAAATCCGCAATTCATATTAACTGCCAGCGGTTGATTATAATCATGTTGACTCCATTGACCGCAAAACGTCGTTATGGAAAGACCATTCATAATTTCTTTTTGAACAAGAATCTAAACTTCAATTTAAATTTATACTACATAATAATTTTGGATAAGACTGTAGTCTGCGATTATAATATACCTACCTAATTAGTACTCGATTCACTATTTTTTTTTTATAATATAATTTATTTTACGGACTAATAACCGTAATGAAAACAAAAAATAATGTCAATATCTGTAATAGTACTCGTTGTCCCTTACAAAAATTTAAACAAATAAATACTAATTTTATGTCATTAAACTTTTAAACTGGAAACTTCTATACCCACCAAATTAACTCTTATGATACAGATGAGTCCATACATATACAACTACTAATAATACGTTTTCATGTATATTCAAGCATCTAGTGATTCTTTATTACTAAATTTAAATTTGGAAAAGTACCACCTTTTCAAATTTTATTATTTTACTAATAATATAACAATAGAAACAGTAATTCAAGGATTAACAATAAATTCATTTTTAATTGTGTAAACTAAATCCAGAATATAAAACGTTTTATGCGTTATACCATTGACTATATTATTATTAGTATTAATAACCAAAAGTTATACGTAAAATGCATCAACGCTTAAACTAGTTTTAATTTGAAATTTATTCTTTAAAATTAAAAATACTTCCTATTTTATACATTAAGTTAAGTTTTTAATTGTCATACTAAGTAAAAATATATTAGGTATTTAAACATTATATGTATATATTATATCAATTATAAAAAATGTTTTTATTTGCAATTTTCTATTTTCATTTTTATATGGATATTTTATGTAAATATTTTTTATTAAGATTATATGAATTGGTACCCATGTAAACAGAAAATAATAATATATTGCTACAGACATAAAATATAATATAACATTTTTTTTTATAAATAAAATAAAAGTATTTTTCTATTTCCTTTGATACTTCTATTCGTTATTAAATAATATATAAAAAAACAATTACCCAAGTAAAGTAATTTGAACAAAAATACTAAACTAATAGACTAATAATTTAATTGTTCATGTACAATCTAATAATATTTAAATATTAAGAATGTAATAAATATCACAAGTATAATTAATTTACTATAAATGCAACCACGATATGATAATGATAATTATTAATAATAAATTAATAGTACCACAACTGTCTATATTTAATTTATATTACTTTATTTATCGCTAGTTTAAATTATAAAATTATTTTTATTTATAAGGAATTTAATTTTTATACAGTACTACAGTACTACTAAAACTTAAATAATTAAGTGTTTTATACTACAACCCTGACTAAAACACATATATTCTACAATAGTACACGATTACAACCAATAATAATTTTACATAGATAGTTAAACACACTTGATTAAATTTAATTAACTAGCTTATTAATATTATAAGCTATAAGTAATTGAATATTATTTTATATTTTAAATTATTGTTCAATAAATCTATAATTTTAAATATTTTAAAAATAATTGTGATAACATTTACCGTGTCTCGTACTATTGATTTTATGTATCCATTTCAAAAAGGCAAAATGTATGCGAATAGGGATAAATGGACGTAGCAGTTTGGACGTGGCCGTTTGGACATGGGGACAAATGGACGTCAAATATATATATATATATATGTATGTATTTATAAGTTATAAAACCATTGATATTTTATGTTCATAATATAACTAATGGATCGTATTATAATATCAAACCCTATCGAATTTTATCGTTTTGGCAATAATAGGTACCTTTTATATCAATATATATAACTTATTGGTTTTTATAACTTGTAATAATTATCACACTTTATCTAAACACGGTCATACACGAAACACAATACACATCAATAACCATATACAAATAGCATTCAAGTGTACATGTATGATGTCATTAATTAATTTAAATCGCGATGGTGAAGATTTTTAAATGAATATTTTTGACATTAAAATTTACATATTATAATAAATATAAATAACTTATTTATTTTATTTACTGATTTTTATATATTTTTATTTTACGTCCATATGTTCCCACGTCCAAACAGCCACGTCCATTTGTCCTAGATCGAAATTTATGGGAGATAGTAAACTGTGACAAAAAAATACCTTTTCTAAATGTCGATATGTAAACTGCGCCGAAAAAAAAATTAACATTATACAATCTGGGACAATACCGATAAGATACATTATACAAACTACAACAATTAATTTTATATATATATACTATATACCGATACGATAACACTTATACGTTTATCGTATAATTACGAAAAGTTGTAATTATGTCGCAGATTACATACAGCCACATTTAAAACAAACTAGATTTCAAAATTATATACATATAATCAATTCAAACTCCTTTGAAACCTCGAAGTGTGGTCAACACAGTGTATTTTATACACTTCCTAATGATTACAAGCTTAAAAGCAGGAAATCGCTACCCTTAAAAAAAACAAAACGATAAAGGTACAATTATGTCTTATGACTCTAATGTGTTTGTAACTGTCGCTAGGTTCGTAATCCGACAGCAGTGAATAAAAATGTGGATATATATTTATATATATAGGAACATAATATAACAAATATACTTTTTCCATTAACCATTGTTCTGGAGCAAAATATCCATAAAGTTCGGACACGTGTCAGCGACTTAACCCTTTACACATTTTACACACATAGCATCTATCGGTTTATTGGCCTATAAGGTTATATAGGGTTATTTGACAGCCCGCTGCAAAGAATAATATTCTGAAACCAATTTAAAAACATTAAACATCAAGCCATACGAAATTAAATAACGATATTCACCGACATAATATTATCAATGACTTTGCATAGATTCAATAAACAAACTGCAACTAAGGTCAATAGATATTTATTAAGACCTAAAGGGTCAATAACATAGTAATGTTTGTTGACAAGCGGTAGTAATTTATTAACTTACTGTAATTTATTTACTCAAATATCAAATATCTTAATTAACTACCACTATATATTGATGTTCCAAAATAATTTATAAAATCATTTTCGAACATGTTCTTACACAGACAAATCGGAACTAAAAAGTTAATTATGATTAATGATATTAAATACTATGATGTACGGTGTACATAGGAATAAATTACCTTAATTAGTA